TGGCGGCGCCGGCGGTGCAGGGCTCGCAGCGGCGCGGGCAGGCGCCGGCGCGGACCCAAACAGGCCGCTGAACAGGCCAAAAAACCCTGACGGCGGCGGCGGCGCGACGACGGGCGGCGTCCAGGCGTAGCCGGTGCAGTTTGGCATGGCCCAGACAAAGCCCAGCTGGATGATGTACCGCTTCTTGTAACCGCCCAGCTCCTGGGGCAGCTGCTTCCCCTCAAACCCGCGGAATGCAGCCAGGTAAGCGCCGTCGCGCGGCGCGAGGCTCGTGGTCTGGTCGATGCAGATGTGGGTGGGCGCGCCGGCGGCGGCGGGTCCCAGGGGGGGGGGTCAAGAGGGTGCCTCGGTCTAGTCCAGGGCTCAGACCAGACCATGCCTCTCGATTAATGGGGAAGGGCTGGAGGAGCGACGGCAGCGAGCGGTCCGGCGGCGCCACAGCGATGACATCATGCTGACTCACCGTCGTGGTGTTGGCCTGGTAGTCCTTGTAGCCCCACTCGTACTTGTTTCCGAGGTTCGTTGTGAATGAGATCCAGCGCATCACCTCGTCGTGCTGCAGGACGACCTTGACAATTTTCTGTGGGGCGGCGCGCGTTCAAACACAGGGGCTGAGGACAGAACATGGCTGCGGGCCGCAGGCTGCGAGGGCGACGTCAAGGCAGATGTGGAAGGCCCACTGCAGCGACGTCTGAGCTAGTGTCCGGGCGCCGGTCGCCGCGGCACAGCCGGCCGGCCCCGTGCCGCCAGGGACCCTGCACCCAGGAAAAAAGTCCCCCCCCCCAAAGCGTCGCCGCCGCCGCTGCCCCCGCCAGATTTGCGCGCCCACCTCCCCCGGCGCCAATGTGAAGTTGAATGGCTTGTGGGGCTTTTTGGCGCCGAACAGCAGGTCCAGGTCGTCGGTCCCGTTGGTGCCATACACAGGCTGGATCCCCTTGAATTCACCCCCAGGGTGCTGCGCGGGCAAGGGTGGAGGGACAGCAGGAGTGTGCGAGTGTGTGTAAGTGCGCGCGCATGTGTGTGTTTGTGTGTGTGCGCGCGCGCATGTGTGTGTGTGGGGGGGGTGTCAAAATGCCACCGCACACGCCTTTGTGGCCAGACTCTGGGACAGAAAGCGGCCTCTGCCATGCACCGCTGCGTTGGGCCCGTCCGCCGCGCCAGCCCTGGGGCCGGCGTGCGCTCTCGGCGTTTCTCTGCTGCCGGGGTGCTCTCTAGGCCCCCGGCGTTTGGCGGCCTGCGCGCTGCCTGCCTGCAACTCTGGCGCAGCCTCTCCTGTTTTTCTGCCCGCTATTAGCAAGAGACAACCAGACGAGTCAACAGCCACAGCACGCACGGATCGGGGCGGACTCCGTCTTGCCCGTAATAACTGCGCAGTCCTCGCTCATGCTTGTCAGCACAACACAATGCGCACATCACAGATTCTTGAGAGTGAGCTGCTGCTCACCCAACCAATGTAGGGGTCATGCCACAGCACTGAGTAGTAGAGGCTCATGGCAGTGATCGGGCCATACTGCATAAACGCCCACGTGTCATCGTGCCTGCAGGGGTGCCGCGAGGCAGGGCCGGCACGCGGCGGTTGCGTGAGACGTCACCCCGCAACGCCAGCCTGCTGCAACGCTGTACGCCGCTTTTCGCGGGTCGGCCATGTGGTGATGCAGCAGGTTGCTTGCGCAGAGGTTGGATAACACGCGCGTCCGCGCCGCGCCGTGTGCCCCGGGCCGTCGCAACATCGCCTGCTGCGGCGGCAGGCGCCTGCCCCGAGCGGCGGGGCTCGGCCCGGCTGGCGTTGCAGGACCCGCGGCGGCTCACCATGCCGAGTCGGTGAGGTTTGGTGCACCATACAAGGGCGTGTACTCGATCACTGCGTCGCCCAGAGCGGGGTCTGCAGGAGGGTGTGCGCGCAAGGCGGGAGTGCGGCGGCAGACCCAGAAAACGCGGCGTCGGTCGCTGGATCTGGGGAGGGGTGCACCAGCTGCCGCATGCGGCCGCCATGCAGCGCACACGCTTGCTGCGGGTGACCCGCAGTGGAAATTGCTGAATTTGTTGTCTGCTGCATCTCTGGCTCGTCCATTGGGCCTATCACGGCGCGGAGACCCGAACAACCTGCGAAGACTGAGGGGCTGAGCCTCACCTGCGCAGTTCAGCTTCCAGTCCTTTGCTGAACGTGAGGCCGCTGATGTTGGGGCTGCGTAAGCCACCAGCAGCGCCAGCCCTAGGGCCAGGGCCAGCGGTCCCGCCCTCATCAACGATGCTTTCTTGGGTGGTTGACGCGCCTTGGCCACCAATACCGCCACACAGCGAAAGAAAACGATGATGTTGAAAATGTTGTGAACGCAGCCGGTTTCGCCTGTGTTGAGGTGGTTCGCACCGGTCACCAGCGGCTCACTCACTCACAATCGTCGGTGTCGCCCTGCCATCGACCTTGGTACAGCAATTGGTATACCAGCAAATGATTTGATCTAAGTTAAGCCTACCAGCGTTCACTGTCCAGCAACGGCGCTGGCAACACAAACCGACTTACCTGCCGCCAGCCCGCCAGCACAGGGAAGCATTTTTGCCAGGTGCATCTCTGCTGCGCATCAAGCATGCACGAGCGGTAAAATGTACACCTTGCAGCGTCTTCCAGAAGGAGTTGTTACTGACTTCCCTCCCCAGGCACTCAACAGCCAGCCAAGCGACACGCTTCAGGCTGCATGACCTGCAGAGCGAGGCGCCACCGGCCCAACGTCGGCCCAAAACACAATCGCATGCACCTTGCAGGGCTTTCTCTGGAGCCATGGCAGCTCACCTGATTGTCAGCTAGCTTGCATGCTCCTTTAATCACACGGCACAATAAACAGCGGCAGGCACCCTCACACTCTGCCTCGAGAGAAATGTTGACAGCAAAAAGTGAGTACGATGTTTCCAGCCTAGCGCCGTCGCCGACGACAGCCAACGCGGGCGTGCTTGCCGCCGCACATAATTCAAGTTTAAGGGCCCCGCGCGTGCGCACGGGCGCCCGCGGCCAGGCGCGGGCCCTCCAAAGCCTGGCCAACCGTGGAGGCCGCACCGGCCAAAACCCGAACACACCCGTCCCAAAATGCCTAGCGGACCCGCCCATCCTCGGGCCAATCCGCCCGGATCCGCCCCGCGGATCACTTCTTCTTGCCCTTCTTCCCCTTGACCGCCACGGGGGCCGGCGCGGCGGCCTCCGCCTTTGCCGTCTGCATGCCGAGCAGCCGCACAAAGTCGACCCACAAGAGGGACCCGACGAACGTGTTGGCGGTGCGGATGACAAAGGAGAGGGCGGCGCACAGCTGGTATTGGCCCTTGAAGATGGTCTCGATGCCCCGCTCCTCGATGACGCCGGCCACGATCTGGGGGTTGTTATGCGGCGGTTAGAGGCGGTGACGCATTGCGGTCAAAAGCGGTTGCATGGTGGTCAGAGGGAGCAGCCACGTAGCGATAACGGTATGTAGGGATGGTACGGAAGGAGGGCGCGAGGGGCAGGGAGCGGGGAGCAGGGGAAGAGGGGTCGCGCAAGCAAGCGGGCAACAGTGCAGGCAGGATTTGCCTGGCATGTGGCAAAGCAATGAAACGCGCGCGGCCCATAACGGCGGGTTTGACGCCTGCAAGGCTCCCAGGGGCCCCCACCTGGTAGCGCAGGTTGCTGCTGGTGGCCATGTAAGTGCCTGTTGGGGTTGGCGGGGTGGGACACGGCGAAATTGAAGTTGGTGGGGTGGGAAGTGGCGAGGCGGGAACTTGGTGGGGTGGGAGTTTTGGGTTGATTGGCGCAGGCAGGCAGCATCGGATGCAGGGCCGCGGAGGGCACCAGCGGCTGGATGTTGGCGCGCAACGGCATGCTGCACGCATGATCAAAGGGAGTTCAGTCTTCTCTGGAGCCCCATCAGCTTCACAATGATGCGGTGCAGCGAAGGTGAGAGAGGGAGCGACAGGCTTGGAGGGTGCCGAAATTAACAGACGAGAGAGTGAGAGGATGAAAGAGAAGAGAGGTAGATTGATGCAAACACATGCACACACAAACTGTGTGTGTGACAGTAAGAGCAAGGAATGGTGTACAACTATGTGTGTGTGTGTGTGTGTGTGTGTGTGTGTGTGTGTGTGTGTGTGTGAGTGTGTTTTGGCATAACGCACCGTAGGCGGCGCTGGTTGAGAGGACGTTCTGGGCCTTGTTGAGC